TACATGCCCAGTTGGGCAATGTATGTATAGCCAAGGATCCGCAATGTGATGAAAAGGACTGAATGGACAATGCAGTGCTAGTGGAATCTCAACAAGCAGTGTACATCCTGGTACGTACAAAAATGGCGCACAATAGCGCAGGGGAAGACTTAGATATAAGCCCTGACCTGACCGGGACTGACCTCTCTCACGAAGTACAAGACAGCGCAGCAGAATGCTAGAATACCAATGACTAGCCCAATCAATGTCGCAATACAGACCAAACATACATCATCCTCATCACAAGGTGTAAAGGGGCCTGGCGCTACACACAGGAAGAATGCGCCAGGTCGAGACCATACACAAACGAAGAGGAGGGGATCAGACGAAGAAGAAGGGGGAAGATGGGAATGTCGTCAACGCCAAGTCTTTGGTGCAAGTCCCAGATAATCCCTCGTCAAATGTCTGAAGCCCAATGTGGAGTCTGGATCCAAATGTCACCAAGCCCGCTCTCTCGTAGTCTGCTGATGCAGTGAAGTCGGGTAGCGAGAGAGTGAGAGGGAGATGGTGGACTGAGAAGAGGAAGAAGAAGAACTCTCTCTCTCTCTCATGTGCCAGCTACCAACCTGTGAAGATGGCGCTGTGCTGCAGGTACCTCGACGACGAGCTGGAGTTATGGCGCTGCAGGTAAGTCTCCCTGGCCTCTGTCCAATCTCTATCTCTCTTCAGTGCTACTCTAGCTCCTAATAGCGCCCAACACTGAAGACTACTGCTAACGCTACTACTACTACTGCAGCGCTCCTCCAGAGTGCGGCTGCTGAATCCTGAAGACTACCTCCTGCCTCCTGAACTGCTTGTGGAGTGCCTGGGAAGTCCCTATGAACTACCTGCAGCCTGCAGGGCGGGCCAGTCTTATATAGTGCTGGCCCGTCCAGGAGGCTGCTCCTCCCAATGCCAAAACGTGCCAGACCCTGGCGTTGAAGCTCAAACAAAGGTTGTCTTGAAAACAGGCCCAAAATGGCATGTGCTAAAACCCTGGTCTGGTGCCTAAGTTTCAGGGCAGGTCGATCTTATGAGGGCCTGAAAATGGCCCTCCGTTTCAGGCTGAAAAGACTCAGGGCCTGGAGGGCTCTGTTTTAGGCTGAAACGACACAGGGCCTGTAGGCCCTTGTTTTCAGGCTTTCAGGCTGAAACGAAACATGGCGTGTAGGCCCTTGTTTTCAGGCTTTTAGGCTGAAAACAATATAGGGCCTGAAAATGGCCCTCGTTTCAGGCGCAACATGTTGCAGGCGCATCATGTAACAGACAGACAGACACACACACACACTCAGAGAGAGAGAGAGAGAGAGAGAGAGAGAGAGCATTGGGCAGTTGCCTACACCATGAATGCATCTTCCATCATATCTGTTTTTGCGAGCAAAGCCGCAACAGGTCATCTAGTATGATTAAAATTTCGCTCCAGCCTCTTTGACCACTCTATGCAGCATTTCCTATTCCTTGCACGTATACAGATCCTTGACGAAAGCTTCTGCTATCTCCAGCATCTCCGTTGTCGCACACGTGAATAGATTAATGAGATTCCTGTTCTTCTGGACATCTGTTAAAATTGGAACGATACAGAGAAGATTAGCATGGCCCCTGCACATAAAAAATAAAGGATTAAACCACCACTACCTCCGAGCCTGTTTTTGCTGACCCTGATTTTCACTGCGCACCGAGTTTTGCCGAGCCTGGGTTCCGTTTTGTTTCTTTTCTGGTACTCTCCTGAAAAAAAAAAAAAAAAAATGCACGGCGAGACTTTCAAAAAACGACCCGCTCACAGCACAAAAAAATAAAAGAAAAAAAGACAAACACCCCTGAGGACATGATACCAGGTACCTAGCCCAAAGCCGTTATGTGAGTATGCCCTCAGTGAGGGCGTTACGAAAATAGGTCCACGAAAATGAACTTAGGGCATGAAAGCAGGTTCATACATTCTGCAACGTAATAGTGTGGGCATGCTCTCCTCCATGAAGTGTCGGCGCCGTGCCTGTCTGGCGGGGCACATAAACTGAAAAAAGAAAGAAAACAAGACACACAAACAATGAAAACCTGAAACTGGCCACTATAGCAGTTAGATACGAACGTGAGAGTTTTGGTGTGAGCACAACTTGGTGCACGCCCTTCCCCGACATGATCTTTTGTTTTTGTTTTTGTTTTTCGAGGGGGCCCTCAAGGCCCAACTGCCGAGCGTCGCCCAACCCCGAAAACTTCGGAAAAAGTGGGAAAACAGCCACTTTTCCCATTTTCCCCAACACTGGTGGAGGTAGTGGTGGTTTAACGCGATTCCCACTGTCCCTATCGATACAATCCTGCGAAACCTCAACCAATGGAACGGCTTGGAACAATCAGCAGGGAAAGAAGACCCTGTTGAGCTTGACTCTAGTTTGACTCTGTGAAATGACTTAAGTGTAGAATAAGTAAGACCTTTATGGTGCAAGTGAAATGCAACTTCTTTTAAGTTTTCAAGTTTTAACTTTTAGCGTAAAAAAATAAATAAATAAATAAATAAATCGTGTGGATAAAGTTCGGCTGGCGGAAAGGATAGGGGAAAAGGAAATATCGCAGACAGAGGCCAAGAGAAACCAAAAAAAAAAGAAAAGCAGAACCGATCCCCAGGTGGCGGACCTAGAGCAAGAAGCTCCAGATTCCAAAGAGGACCTAAGGAGACATCATTTTGCACAGGATGGCAGTTCAGGATGTGGACCCTCTCTCCCTCAAAAAGATTGCAGGCTGCCGAAATATCCAGAAAATGAACCCAACATTCATAACGCATCTCTGAAGGCATACTGAAGGCATCTGCACAATGGGATTTTCCAGGATGCACCTGACCACAATTTTGAACAGATTCAGTCGAAAAGTGTGAATATGGCCTTAGTCTTGTGAAGGCTTGTGATTGTGATTTCATGCAATTGTATTTCTACAGAGACAGCAGGAGCACGACCCCAACATTCATATTCCACAGTCATTTCCTTTCCTTGTTGGCTCGTGTACAGTTTGCAGAGGATCGACTGGCAGGGGCTCTGCGCGATTTGAAAGTAAGATCAACAGACCTTATCTCATCTACTATTTACAAAAGGGGGGATAGGGTGAAGGGCGGGGAGGGGAAGGAATGAATTCTCATCTGGACATGTGCATAATCCAAACCCGCATGGCAGATGTGGCCATCGTGCTTTTGTTTTTCGGAGAAACCATATTTTTTTTTCAAAAAATGTTTTCCAGGCAGGGGAGCTCACATACACCCAGAAAAGCACTGAGGACATTACCCAGCTTCGGCTTAAATAGTCCATGCTGGAAACCAGGTCCACTGGTCCTGAAAGACATCTTTAAGCCCTCTGTTGAAGTTCTGTCCAAAAAACATCCAAATTTACTCAACTTCTTCAGATTTAAAGTCTAGGATGGACTCGCAACTCCCCACCCCATCAAACCTCGAATGACTGACATTTGGCGGTACCTTTCCCGACTCTGCTCATCCTGTGCAGAACCCCCCACCCCCCTCTTTTAATGACATAGAACCATCAACCCTGTTCTGGACGTTATGAGAGCTAACCTCCCCTGATTACATAGACATATTCTTCGATTCTCGACATGGTCAAAGCCTGCGATGCCATCTGATATCAGCATCGGCCCACAGGGAGAATACAGCTATGGACAAGAGGGACAAGGGAATGAAGAAGGGAGAGGGACGGCTTGGGGCTGAGACTAACTGTGTGGTCTAGTCAGCATGATGATGGAGGCTCTTCCTAAGCTCCTATATTTGAGTAGATGTTGGTGTTTTCTTAGACTCGAGCAGTTTGGAAGACTCCGAATGTTCTTGAACTGGAGTGACGGAGTTGATATGGAGTTGAACATGGTAATGTTTTCTTAGACTCAGCAAAACATTACGATGTTCCCATACACACGCAAAGATGACAGAACTGATATGGAGAGAGATTCACACCAAAGCAAAGGGAAATATGCACAGCCGAACCACCAAACGAAGGAGAATTGAACATGAGCAATTCAAAGTCTCTTGCCAACTCTCCAAGTCCAACCAGAATCACAAGTAGCCAAGAATCACAACCGAGTATAAACTGCCGTAGGCAAACTCGAAACACCAGTCCGACAAACCGATAGACCCTGCCTCATCACCATCGCATGATCCCAGTCATTGCCAGCCTGTATGGTTATTGCGCCCCTTCAGGATTCCATGCACCCATCCCTACAGCCCTCCGGACCATCAACGCGACCTCAGAACTTGCTCAAAAGACTTGGCGCCAATCCCAGGATGAAGAAGGAAGCTCCCGCTTGAAGAAGACGAAGAAGAAGAAGAACTGTTGCCCTTGAAGAAGAAGATATGGCAGCACCTATCCCCACAAAACAGATATGGGTGTGGGCGGCCTGCAGATGAAGCACCAGCTTCAGTGCCACCCGCAAACACAACAAGTACCACCAACCAAAGAGAGCTAACCTACAGGTCCTACTCTATATGTAGGTCTAGGGGCCTAGGGCTAACCTACTGGTCTGGACTCACCTAGCGCCTAACATCATAATAGTTCATCAACTGAGCTAGGCCTGTTGGTAGACTCAGTTCAGCTTTGCCTTTTTTTTTTTTTTTTTTTTTTGGAGAAAAGTCTATCAGGTCCACTATTGCTGGTGATACGAGCATCCCCCAATAGTAGTCTTGAGTTGCACAGCTCCAATCTATTGGTGGGGACTATCACCTGCTGGGAACCGGGCCCAGCATCCCATTCATACGATACTGCAGCACTTCTTGTACCGTTACATCAAGCCTTCTGTCCTGTCCCTGTTTTGCAGGCTAGTGTAATACTCTGCTATTCTGCTGCTCTACTATCCCAGAGCTGGGTGTCCGTCCCTTCAGTCCAATTTCTGCCGGCCGATTGAAACAAGTTTCTTGAGCAGAGCTGTCCCAGTCATTCATTGCCAAACCATTGCAGGTCCACTAGCGACAAGTTGTGCGTTGGGAACATGTCAGGAAATTCTGATGACGGCTGTGTCAGCACTGCTGCATCGATCTTTGTCCCGTCGTTGAAGAGAAGCTTGTAGTTCCTCAGTACTTGGTGTTTCTGTGATTACTCCTGCTCTCGCTGGTGTTGTCTTTTCTTTTTTTCTCTTGGTTAAGTTCACTAACATGTGAGGACTGCTTATTCTTGACGAAAGATGCTCTGGTGAAATCCCACTGCGGTAGTTTTGGGGTTTGTGTCATGGGAGGGTGCAGGTTGGTGCCCGATTGGTGGGTTGCCTGTAGTCAGCCAGGAGAACGGGCGACCAGCGGTCCCTCACTTCGGTCATTCTTGTTGGGGGGGGGGGGGGGGATCCTGTAGCTCCTAATCAGGAAGGGACAATGTGGAAGGGGTGGGAAGGAGGGGTATATTTTTTCTCTCTTCACTTTTCATGTAATATCGAGAGATTGACAAAAGTGCTTAGCAGCATCTGAACCTTTGTGATGTTATCCACTTCGTTTGGTTGAAATGGTGTGCACTACTGCAGGAGAGCAGGAAGCGGTTGACAAATTTACAGGCCCTGCAAGACGACATGAGCCTCTGGGTAGGAATTTCCATCGCCTCGAAATTGCCGAGTCACTGCACGGCTGGAATGATGGAAGCGGAGCATGGTGACCTTACTGGATCATCACAACCACGGAGTCTGGTTGCGGATGATGGGGAGAGGGAAACCAAGAAGAATGAGGAGGGCATAGCACACAACCCAGTGCAGATGCAGGAACCAAGACGGGGATCCGGTGACATACATGTGGCACGACTTGTAGGAGAACTAAGGGAGCGACTGGATTTACTTGCTTCAAGAGACGAACTGGTATGTGATCACCCAATTTCCGCTGTACTTCCTTGAGATGTCACACATAC